GTTTGTATGTCTCACAGGGTGTCACACTCACCAGGGCAGCATCGAAAGTAAAGAAAACCGATGAAGCAAGAAAACATCGGAATGCCAACTCGTTTCTGGTGGGTCCTTTCCCAGGTGCTCCTACACTGGTCCGACTGTCGCTATCGATTGATTATTCTCGGAGAACTCCAACAGTTGCCTGGGTTCTTCATGAAGGGTTTAATGTAAGTCACCAAAATAGGGATCTACTTTAAATAATAGGGTTTCTTTCTTGAATAAAATCCCTTAACAAGAACCCAGTTGCTGCCAGGAAGATACCTGCTCCACAGGACCTCCTCAGAATGACATCCCGGCTCGACAGACTCTGTACGGTCTCATAGGTTGTGTTTTAGGGTTTGGGGTTAGGTTGACATAGGGCGCTCCGACGGGTGCAATGGATTAATAAGGGTGTTTAGTTACAGGGGTTGAGAACGAGGTCGTCAGGATTAGCTGAAGGTTTTAATTTGCAACACTAAACCCTAAACCCTAAACCCTAAACCCAAACTGTAGGAAGGGTTTACAGCTTGCGGGTTTGCGGGTCGCGAGGCTGGGCTTGCCGACGACAGCTGCCCTTATCTCCGACGAGAAGGAGAGATCTGGTCAAATCGAGGGTTCGGGTTTAGGGCTTTTGGGGACTTCAGAAGTACCTGTATCCTGAAACCCTACAAAATAGTAGGTCATGACCCATAATGATAGGGTAAAAGGGTATGACACCTAAAACAATAGGGTTTTGGATCCTAGGTAGGCCCTATAAACCTCTAACCCTACACCCTAAACCCTAAACCCTAAACCCCAAACCCTAAACCCTAAACCCTAAACCCTAAATCCTAAACCCTAAATCCTAAACCCTAAACCCTAAACCCTAAACCTATCAACCTCTAGCCCTACACCCTGAACTAGCGGTCGACTTCGACAGTCCCTGAAATTACGCAGAATTAGGGTCTAGGGTTTAGGGTTTAGGGTTAGCGGTTTAGGGTTTAGGGTAATAAGGGAAACCTAAACCCCTAAACCCTAAACCCCTATAAAACCTAAACCCCTAAACCCTAACCTCTGGGTACCCGTCGCGCCCAAGGTTTCAAGTACCGACGTTTGAGGTCCCAGGTTCTGGGTGCTTTTGGAGGGTCCAGGACACGTCGGTCTGGCGGTTTGAAGGTTTAGGATTTGGGGGTTTGGGGTTTAGGGGTTTAGGGCTTAGGATTTGGGGTTTAAGGTTTAGGACCGTTTAGGATTTGTGGTTCAAGGTTTATAAGGTTTAGGGTTCATGGTTTTAGGGAATGGCGCTTAAGGGGTGTATCCGTCATGCTTGCGCAAAGTACAACATTGAAGTCACTCTTGACAATTGAAGTCCTTGAGACTCTTGGGAAGCTGCGGCAGAGATGCTTGCGAGACTGTTCAAAAATATCGGTCCACGCCATGGCAAGGCCACAGCGTGTTAGAAGCGATTCCTTTCCCATGTCATGTGGGCACAACAGCTCTCTTTCCTACCCAGTCATGCATGTCACTTAGCATATAGAGACCATCAGCGACACAGGAACACATGAATCACTTCTGCAATATGTGGTGGCAGGCGAACTACGTAGCAGACTGGCCACCTCCTCGAAACCAGGAGTCGATACCTGGGACTTTCCGAAAACTAGGGTACCTTATTTTGGGGTCCTTATAATAAGGAACCTATTATTTAGGGTACCTTATTTTGGGGTCCTTATAATAAGGAACCTATTATTCAGGGTACTATATTAGGGTCCCCTATTTTTGGAAACCCCCACCTCACGGCTCTTGCTGGCCCTGCCGGCCACGGCGATTTGCCTTGGGTGCGCGGCCGCGGGAGGCCCGCGGGGCAGTGGCGCCGGTCTTCTTCCACTTGCAGAGGTGGCAGTGGTCGCAGTTGGCACCGTCTTTGCACCCCTTGCCCTTGGAGGCATACCTTCAGTCTAGGGCATCTTCAGGTGGGTAGGTACCGTTATAGGAGCCTTATAGAAGGTCTATATACCTCATGGAAGCCTTGTAGAAGCCCATATACCCGAAACGCCCCAGCGGTTTAGGATCCAGGGGCTGAGGTTCGGGGTCGAACAAAACCCTATAAAGACTCATAGTAGTATTCGCGGTACATAACCCTAAACCCTGAACCTCTAAAACCCCAAAACCCCTAAACCCTAAACCCTAAACCCTAAACTCTCAACCCTGAACCCCTAAACCCATAAACCCCTAAACCCCTAAATTACTTACTAAACCCTAAACACCTAAACTCCTAAACCCCTAAACCCCTACACCCCTAAACCCTAAACCAGCCTACTCGTAAGGGTCCTTTGGTCCCCAAGGTGCTTGCACGCGGGGCCGCAGTTGAAAGGATGGCCTCGCGAGCCGAAGGACTCGCAAAGGGGATAAAGCATGCCGGAATCCTCCTCGGGAGTTTAGGGTTTAGGGACCTAGGGTTTGGGAGTTTAAGGGTTTAGGGGCTTAGGGCTTTAGGGGTTTAGGGACCTAGGGTTTGGGAGTTTAAGGGTTTGGGGGCTTGGGGCTTTAGGGACCTAGGGTTTGGGAGTTTAAGGGTTTAGGGGTCTAGGGTTTAGGGGTCTAGGGTTTAGGGGTTCAGGGGTTTAGGGGTTTAGGGGTCTAGGGTTCAGGGGTTTAGGAGTCTAGGGTTTAGGGGCCTAGGGTTTAGGGGTTTAGGAGCATGCCGGAATCCTCCTCGGGAGTTGGGGGCTTAGGGGTTTAGGGGTTTAAGGGTTTAGGGGCCTAGGGTTTAGGGGTCTGAGGGTTTAGGGTTTAGGGGCTTAGGGCTATAGGGGTTTAGGGGTTTAGGGGCTTAGGGGTTTAGGGTTTAAGGGTTTCGGGGTTTAGGGGCTGAGGGGTTTAGGGTATAGGGGTTTAGGGGGTTTAGGGATTTAGGGTTTAGGGGTTTAGGGTTTACGGGGTTTAGGGGTTTAGGGGCTAAGGGTTTAGGGCCTCCTCCGGTGCAGGTGGTGGCAAGTCCGCATGGATCTCCTTCACCTCCTTGAGTCGACGATGGTAGGGTTTAGGGTTTAGGGTTTAGGGTTTGAGGCTTAACTTACGGACTTACCAGTAAGGCGGCCTTATAGCCTTTTACTATGAACTCCTATATGGTATATGATCCCCAAACCCTTTTAGGGTCCATTTCGTCGAAAGCAACCTAAACCCTAAACCCTTAACCATAGGGTAATGTAGGGACCTAAATAAATACCAATACTATTTCGGTGGTTCCTTATTATCATTGCAGTATAACGGGCCCCAAAGCCCTATTCTAATTATTGAGGCCCTAAGCCCTAAGCCCTAAGCACCCTAAACCCTAAACCCAAAACCCTAAACCCTAAAGCCCTAAACCCAAAACCCTAAAGCCCTAAACCCTAGACCCATAGGGAGGGGTTTAGGGCCCAGGAGTTTCGGGTCACTCAGCTCCTTCACCTCCTTCACCTCCTCCTCGTCGGTCATGTCAGCCCACGCACTCCGTGGCTCCGCCCTCGCAGTGTACTGCTGCATGAAGGAGTTCAAGAACTCCTGGGTTCGCCCCGAGGAAGTTGGGGGTTTAGGGTTTAGGGACGTTTAGGGGTTTAGGGGTTTGGGGGTTTTGGGGTCTAGGGTTTAGGGAAGTTTAGGGGTTTAGGGGTTTAGAGGTTTAGGGGTTTAGGGCTTAGGGTTTGAACGTATAAAGAACTTGATCCAGGTAAATGCACGTGGCTTCCTTGTAGTTCTCATAGCCTAACCTATGTTATGTTCCTCGCCCAGGAAGCCCCCACGTGCCCACAGACAATCCTTGTAAAACCTAGCATGCTTAACCCTCTTCCAAAACACTAACCCTACACCCTAAATTGTAAACCCAAAACCCAAAACCCTTACTGTAACCCTAAACCCTAAACCCCAAACCGGCCCTCAACCCTAAACCCTAAACGCCAGCCCAGTCTCATGGGACAAGGCGGGCATTGGCAACTGCGGCTCAGGCGAGGGCGTCTGCAAGCCTCGGTTCAAACACCCTAAGAGCCAGGGTTTAGGGTTTAGGGTTCAGCCTAAACCCTAAATCCGTAGATTTAAAAATTCCTGAACCGAAACCTCTTGAACAAGAAAAGGGGTTCTCAACCCAGCCTAATCCTTGAACCCCAAAGCGGGTTAAAGTTATCGGCCCTAAACCCCCAACCGTAAATCCCAAATACCAAAACCCCCCAAAAAACCCTAGAAACACAAGGCAAAACAACGAAACCCCTTCTGAAAGCCAAAGGGGAACCCTGTAAAACCCTACACCCCAACACAGGAGGAAAGAAACAGAACAAAAAAAAACAAGCATGACACCATACACTCAACCCTTATACTCTACACACCAAACCCCAAAGAAATACTGGCGAAAGGCTGATAGACTTTAGCATCACCAAACTCCTGGGTCGAAAAAAGCGTGGCCAAAGGCTATTCCTACTCTGGGCCCGAAAACCCCAAAAACCCCAAAACCGTCAGCCCCAAACCCTAAACCCTAAACACACTAAACCCTAAATCCTAAATCCTGGAGAAAATGGGATTCATGGAAGTTGCTCGTCATTGTTCACGTTGAACCCCCGGGCAGCCCCGAAACCCTAGACTCTAGATCCCAAGCCCCAAACTCAGCCCCGTCTCCAGCCAAATCAGGTTTCATAGGGTTTAGGGTTTAGGGGTTTAGGGTTTAGAGTCTTGGGTTTAGGGGTTTAGGGTTTAGGGTTTCCAAGAATACAAAACTCGGCCACAACGTTTCGGTCAAAACTAGCGCGCCCAAACCCCTAACGATTTCTACAGTATCAGTTCAACACACTAAACCCCAAATCCTAAACCCTAAATCCCAAACCCTAAACCCTAAACCCCAAGCCCAAAACCCTAACCCCCAAAATCCCTAAACCCTAAATCCTAAACCCTAAATCCCAAACCCTAAATCCTAAACCCTAAACCCTAAACCCAAGAATCCTTAAACCCTAAATCCCAAACCCGACGTTCTGCGTCGGAGAGGCGAAGCCAAGGCTGTCCCGAGCTCGGAGAGCGATCTTTGGCAGACCTGGGCTCTTCTTAAAGGAAACTAGAGGTGGGGAGTTTAGGGGTTTAGGGTTCTAGGGTTTAGTGTTTTAGGGTTTAGCGGTTATGGGTTTAGGGTTTTATGACCTGGGCTCTTCTTGGGGTTTAGGGGTTTAGGGGTTACGGTTTAGGGTTTAGGGTTTAGGGTTTAGGGTTTAGGGTTTAGGGTTTAGGGTCTTAAAGGAAACTACAGGTGGGGAGTTTAGGGCTTCTGCAAGGCTTCCATAAGGTATATAGACCTTCTATAAGGCTCTCATAACGATAACTACCCACCTGGGCTCTTCTTGGGGGTTTCAGGGTTTAGGGGTTTAG